TTGTCCTCTGCCATGTGCCATTCTGCCTTAGAACCAACTGAGTATGGATGGATACCTCCACAAAGTGTGAGATAAATAAACCCTTCCTTCCTTAATTCTGGGCATCAGGTATTTTGTCTCAGCAATGAGAGAAAAAGTAAACAAGACACATATATTTAAGATATTATAAGAGTATAAGTATGAAAACAAGGGAACAAGATCAAGGCATATTAATAAAGCCTATACAAGCAAAATGAGTTAATTTGGGATCTAAATGAGGCTTGGGATTAAACCAAGTGATGTCCGTAGACTCTAGTTAGCAAATTTTTCTTATATTTTTAAAATCAACTAAAATGAGGATTTCTAGTCCTCTTTGTCAAAAGTCCTAAATCTTTACTTTCTTATCAATTTGATATTAATTTTCTACTAGAAGCACAGAGATACCAAGGAATACCCTTGTGAAACTCTGAACTGCAGACATACTCATCTCCTTCCTGCTATCTTAGTTACCTTCTCCTACCTGACACGTGATACCCAAAGCCCACAATTAAAGGAGGAGAGGTTTATTCTGGTTCACTGTTACCATCCACAGTCAGCTGGCTCCAACAGAGAAGCAATATGGCAGAAGGGTCTGGCAGAAGGAAGATCCTCCTACTGTGTTGGCTGGGAAGCAGAGAGAGAAGCAAGGAGCTGGGAAAGGAAATACATGCTTCCAGGTCACACCCTCAGTGACCCACTTCCAACCAGGCTCCACCTCCTAACAGCAAGTCAACTGTGATCTCATCAGGTGACCAGTCTACTGATGGGTATTGCACCCCCATAAAGTTGCACTTCTGAGCCATGAGAATCTGGGGAGACATTCTGGATCTAAACCATCACAAGCCCTGATACATGGCAGGTAGCTCCTTTCCTTACTTTCTAGGCCAGTGACACAAAGTGCCCAAATTTAATGTTATTCACAGTGCACCGTTCAATAAGATCCTGTCTCCCTGGTGGACAAAATCTATTTCAATCAATATCTTCAGAAATAGTGCTTGACTTCTAAAATATGACTTCTATGAACGTAACTCTTATGTGACTTTAACTCTTTTATCTATGAACATGGCTTGGATAGTATTGTCTGTTTTTATACTTCTGTTAAATTTAAAATCTGTTGTCTTTGAGTCTTACAGCTTTCTTGGTAGTTAATTCTAAAGATGCCATGTTTTAGGAGCTCTTTTGAATGTTATTTTTCTCTAATTTCCATTATTAGATCCTTATTTCCAGTACTAAGGAAAGTTACTACTATTTGTTTTATTAAAACTACAATACCATGTTTTCTGATCAGTTAACAGCTTTACTGTAGTATATCAAAGTACAATAAACTGTACATATTTATAGTGTGTGTGATAACACTTGGTATACATGTGAACCATGCAAGATACTGAAAATAGTCATTGCCTCAAGAGTTTCATCATGTCCTTTGCAACCTCTCTCTCCTGCCTCACTCACCCAGTCCTTCACACAATTCCCACTTGCAAGTAATACTCTCCTACTTTTTGCCACTAGAAATGAGTTTACATTTTCTAGAATGTGATATAAATGGAATCATCCAATATGCATTTCCTTGTCTTGGTTTCTTTTATTCAGTATAACTATTTTCAGAAAGTTGGCTACTTCTGTGGTATGTGTCAGTAGTTTCATTTCTTCTGATTGCAGAACAATTAACCATTATATGAGTACAACTGTTGTTTGTGATTCACTCATCTCTTGATGTGCATTTATCTCCAGTTTTTGAAAATTACAAACGTTGTAGCAACAACTGTGCTGACACTCTGTTAGCCCTCTGTGAAGGTGAAAGGAAGAGATTACATCCTTTCCAGGACACTCTTGTCCCTGACAAGTAACATTTCAACACCAAGGCCCAGCAGGGATTCCACCTTCCAGTGTCATTAGTTTGACAGAGATTGAAAAGTTCAGGAAGCCACTTATACAACCAAATACAGTAAGAAATTAAATATATATTAGGCCCTTCAGGCAATTACAAACTAAAGATTTCCTTTTCAACACTGCAAAAAGAAAGTTTTCCTCCCCTGTCTACTACCAGCCTACATGAAAAATATAGATGAATTTTATCAAAGTATTTGCAAAGTTTGTAAGTCAAGAAAGGGACATGGGAGTGAGTGTAATGAGATGTGTAAGGGTACAATGTGTACTCAAGTCACTACTTCTTTAGAAGCCTTACACTTTTGAGAACTGAGTTATGGAATTAAAGAAATTCAATCAGGTCACATTACTTGTTTTCTTATTTTTAATTTAATCAAATGAATAATTTAACCTAGCCAAAAATTATTCCTGAAATTTGAGGAAATTTTTATATAAATTAAAATCATGTACCCAATAAAAGCATGGGCACATGAAAAGAACAATCCTATCTCTGAAACATGAGACTTTGGGTTTTTGTTTTATTTTGTTTAGCGTTTTCAAATCAGTTCAAAGAGTCCTTTGTTCTGACTTGTTTATATTTTACATGATAAAAACACTTAACAAAAAGTCTCCTTAACAGATCTTAAGTGCACAGCACAGTGTCATTAATTATAAGCACATGTTGTACAGTACATCCCTACAATTCATTCATCTTATGTAACTGAATATTATACCCCAGCCAAGTGTCCCTTGCTCCTAGACCCTTGGAAACACCATTGTACTCTCTGTTTCTATGAGCTTGACTATTTTAGTTGCATCTTATAAGTGAAATAATGCCATATTTTGTCAATAAAGATAACCTAAATAATGTTAATTTCATTAAGAAAGGCTCTTTGCACTGAAAGTGGCACGTTCAACACACCTGTTTATCAAGTCCATCCTTCAATATGTCAATTGTTAATTAAAACTTTATTGAAGATATGATCCTGATTAAAATATTTATATGGAGGCCTTTGGTGGGCAGATACTTCAACAGATTTACAAAAGATTAAATGTATTTGGAATATTGGTAAGACATATGCAACTTAGTACAGACCTATATTAATCTACCTTGAAGAATGCTAAACAGATTGGGGCTCAAAAAGCCCTAGCCATTGAAAAGAGTAGAAGAAAGATCAGATTCTCCAGTTCTACATTTACATTGCTCAGGGGTCAATATTTCCCTTCTTTCTGTAGCCAGTAGAGAATATTGAGAATAGTATATCTAATGAATATATTCTAAATGAGGAGAGGAAGAAGAGTTGGAGGGAGAGAAGAGGAAAAGAACAAAACTAGAATTCATAATGTGTTATGTACATGTACAAATCCCCCATGAGGAATGTGATCATTATGTACTACAAACATGTACTAATAAAATCGAACTAACTCAAGAAAATGAAGGAATGCATTCTGTTAACTACACTGCCACACTTTCCAATCTAGGAATTCCCTCATGCAGGGCTATGCCGTTTTTCTACGTATCCTTAGTCTAAATTCACTGACAAGTTCCGAGCACAAAAAATATACATTGCCGCTAAGATGGACAAGGTCTTTCAAGAGCTGCTTCCATTTCAACCAGCAGCTTTTCTAGAACTGGGACAGTCTATAGGAGAGATCGAACACAAGGGGTGGTATAAAGGCCAAGCCATTGGATAAGGCCCAGTACAAAATATTCTGATGTGGGATATTTGCTCAGGAGCTTCCCAGATTTGGCTGAGGTTTTGCTGGCCTCACACTGGAGTTGAATTTTCCTTACTCACAGCACTGCTTCTTCCTCTTTTTCACTGAACTGCATCTCAGTCCCTATCCAGAGAACGCTACATGGAATTGGTTACCAGTCAACTTCTTATTAAATAAGAAGCTATATAATAGGAGAGGAGGGGAATTAGCTCACAAAAAGCAGAGAATATAAAAATAAATTTAATTCATGTATTAAGAATAAAGAAACTCCTTGTGTATGTCATGAACAAAAACACTTCCTCAATAGAGCAATAAACTTAAAAATATTCTAAATGTTTCCAGTAGATAGGGAAAGGAAAGCTGATGATCGTTTATTTTCATGGTCCTTACTTGCAACTCTTGAAGTTAGACAACAACACATTAGACATTCAAGTGTAATTATTTACCACTTAACATCGTATATAGTCAAACTAGCATCAAAGTTTGCACACAGGCTTAACGATATCTATTTTTCCAACAATAAGTTGCCTTTATACCCACATTTTTCAAGGTCAGTCTAATTTCACATTTATAATATGGTAATAATAGCCCTTTCATTTACTTTCCTGTAAAAACTTTATTGTGGTAAGGATACTAAAATGAGATCTAACACCTTAAGACATATTTAAGTGTACAATGCATTATTTTTTACTACGAATGGTATGTTACACAGCAGATCTTGACAGCCTATGTTTGTTCTTCAAATAAAACTTTATGTTTAAGCATGGGTGACTTGTTTCACCCTTTCTCCAGCTTCTGGCAGTCACCATATTCTACTCGTTAATACTATGAATTCCTCTGTTTCTGATATCTCATATAATTGGAATTATGAAATATTTGTGTGTGTGTGTGTGTGTGGTCAGTTTATTGTCCCAAACTTCACTCATGTCATAAAAGCAAACTTCTTTTCTTCTTTAAGGTATTACTCCATATCTTCACTCATTTGAAAGTGCACATTTAGAGTGTTTGCATATCTTGACTATTGTGACAAGTGCTGAAAAGATTTGTTGTCTTAAATTGAGTTTGACGTAGTTGGTACTGAGGACTCAATTTCAGTTTTTTGTTTTTTTCTTTTGACAGTACGAGGGATCAAACTCATGACCTTGTGCTTGCCAGGCAGGCACTTATGCCACTGAATTTTATCCTCAGCCCTCAATTTCACTTCTTCTAAACACCCAGAAACGCAATTTCAAGATCCTACTCGTAATTGTTTTGGGGATATTCCATACTGTTTTTCCAAGGTAACTGCATCATTTTTAGTAGCTATTTTGGAAGGTCTGAGGTGATATCTCATTGTGGTTTTGATTTCAGATTTCCCTGAAGATTAATTATAGCACACATTGTTTTCATATACTTACTCATCATTTGTGTGTTTTTGAAGAAATATCTACTTAAGTCCTTAGTCCATTTTTGCATCAGATTATCAAGGATGTTTTCTGCCAAGTTTTAGGAGTTCTACAAGCCATTAAGTATCTAGAGTTCAAGAAACAGAAGATCATTTAGGACAATAATATAGGGAATCTCTGGTGTGACTGATTAGGAAAAGAATAATAAAAATCCCAGAAATACTAAAACAGTCACAAATGTCCATCTTGGATTTTGTTTTTAAAAAATGTAAGTTGTAGAGGTGAGTTAGGTGAAGTCTGACCTCTAAACTTAAACATTCTATTATAAAAATAGTTTTCTGATTATGATTTACAGATGTGGTCATTGTAGCTAATGTCCGTTCCAGTTTTTTACCTGGAGACTTTTGTTTAAACTCACCATATGTTTTGTTTTTATTCTAATGCAGACTGAATGACTTCAAGTAGATTGAGTGAAATTTTTCAAAATGTGGTTTAATGGTGAATGTAGGAATTCATTTATGAATATATAAAATTTCTTTAATAAAATTAAAGGAAAACAGATATAAAAGAGATAATCAAAAAAAATGTACCCTTAGTAATGATAATGGGATTACTTACAGTTGTTGGTATTCTTTTGACTTCTATTGATGAAGATCAATGAAACTTGATGGTACACATATAATACAACATATCTAACTGTATAATGATAATTGTCTTGCATAGATGTTAAACTTGTGGCTTGAATCTAAAAATCCTATATCAGATCAAAAGAATTTAGTGGGCTTTTAGTAAAAATGTTAAACTCCATAAAAAGAAAGCTTGTAAGAATTTATTTAAAAATCAGGTTTAAATATAGACTGAATCATAGTGTTTAAAGACTGACCAGAAGCTTGTTTTGAACAAAAGGATGTCAGAGCTGACAGTACTCTCATGAAAGAGGAATGATGTCTTTGTTTAATTCACACATATTCATTGAAAAATCATATATTAAACACCAGACATATTCTAAATACCAGAAATCATGGTAAGCAGTGAAAAGAACCATCTAAAATGCAAGCTGAAAAGACATTAGAGCTTTTAGATGAAAGATGTAAATGGGCATGTGGTTTAAACTCTGAAGTGGAAAAGTTTAGAGTTTAGAAATCATTTGGAATTGAATTTCTTTCAACGAAATTACACACAAAAAAAATGTCCTGGAGAGTATCTGAGGGCCCCATAAAGGTTACTTTTGCTTGCTCTTAACTTTTAAATTTCCATTTTGAAAAGGAATGCAAGAAATCCATCAGCAAGCACAAATATAAAAGGAAGATGAGCCTATGGGAACAGTTCCAGAGAGCAGAAATGATGTAAAGTTTGTAGATAAACAATGTAAAAATAATAAAACATTTTTTAAGTTAAAGAAATATTCAGAACAAGAACAGTTTACCTGTACTATATCTGCCAGGATTTTATAAATTGAAAAAGTTATGTAAAGTGGGATTTTTAAAATTCCACTTTGCATCCATATTCTGTGACCAGAAAAATAATTCTTAGCCTGGAGAAGGCAGAATAAATATTGGTATAAGCAATTGAACCTCAAGATATGTAAAGAGATTGTAAGATATCATTTCACTTCTCTAAATGATTTCAAGTTTCTGGTGCTAAGAAGATTACATATCGGAAGATGGTAGAAACTTGCAGATGAGATAGTGAACTGCATGAATGAAACTATCTTATCTTCCAACCGCTAGGGAAATAGGGTGATGTGACCAAGAATTCAGACTTAAAAATATTTAATACTGATTTTCAAAATGTAAGAGAGATTGTATCTTGGTTATTATAATTTGTATCTGTCCTTACTAAGTCAGTAGCAAAACTTTTAATATATCCTTGCCTCTGCAATAGTTACAAGTGGCACACACACAGTTTAGCAACAATGTGTCCTTCAGTCATTTGTAAAACTTCTGTTTCTTAAAAAGATGATGTTGGATTTAAGGTATCATCAGTGTTCCCAAAGTATTCCAAATACTCTCTAACAATTCCGGCTGAACTCATATTTGGTTTTGGACCACATATAGTTCAGGTTAATGGATTATGTGTGGAAACAATATGTTTTACTTAAAATCTATTAAGGCAGTTAAAAAACAACTTTCTTCATCTAATTCTCTTTACCCCGGGACAGACTGAGATGGTAGGATCATAACACAAACGGGGCTAGTTTTCCTGAATAAGTACAGCCTTTGAAACTTACACCAGTCTTATAGGCCTTTTTTAAATTAATGTAATCTCTAGTTGTCTAGCATTAATTTTCCTATTTTCATGTAGTTACTCAAGTAATGAAAAGGTCTAGAGAAAGATACAGGCTTAGACATTGATAGAGTAGAATTTTAATTTTATTTATAACAAATTGTGTCAACTCTGTGTTTTGGTTTTCTTCTTAGGCTGCCACCCATTATAGTAACAAAGTGGCTATGAGCAGTCCCAGTCCACACATGGCATATCTCCTCTTTCAAAGAAAGGACTTCTTTTTCCTAAAACTAACATTATGTTACTGTAATTATGCTGCCCATGAATCAACCATCACTGTGTAGATCACTGTATTTTGTTGATTTTTTTTAGTCAATAAGCATCCATGGCTGGAGATGGGGAAAGACCAATATAACTTCCCAATCTCACAGTTACCAAAGGGGAAGGGGAAGCCAAAATGGATCCTGGGAAGAGACGATCATACCACAAATACTAAAAAATGTATTCAGTATTCCTTAGATCTTCATTCTATGTTGTTCAAAACTTCCATAATGATTTAGTAATATATCTTGTGGAGTCATAAAGTGTAAGGAAAAGCAGTATAGATAACACAGTCAAAGTAAAATTAAGGATCTAAATATAAATTTAAATGGACTAATAATAAATATATGGAAAGGTAGTTGAAGATCAGTACTATCTTCTTATAAGAAGAGTGGTACACATTGTTACAGTTAATAAGAAATACAGCCAACAATATGATAAGACATCAAAGTAGAAACATATTAAATTTTATTAACATAGTTAGAAAATGTGCAATGAAAGAGTAAAAATTTGTATTTGATTCTGTATAGGTTGAGATTACACTTAGAATGAATGTAAGTTTCAGGGAGTTGCAATGTAAGATAAATATTGAAAATCAAGAGCTAGTCAAGGAAGAATACTCAAATTTCACAACTCAAATCTGCATTAATTTTTGAGTATTTTAAGTAGCTGTTGATACTTAGCCATTAAAAGAAGGACTTATGAAGAATTAATTACTGTTTTCAATTTCTGAAATATTATCATATTGAAGAATATACTTTTTCAGAGAATACAGTAGGATGAAAAGGGCAGAAAAGCAATAAAACAAATGTCAACAATATATAAATAAGACTTTTACCACAGATAATTAGAAATGAAAGAGATTGCCTCAGGGCAGAAAGCTTTCCCATCACCAAGGTGAGTTCGAGCAGGAGTAGGACTTCAACTTATCACAAGTGACAGAGAAAAGATACAAGCATGAGACGACAGTTGAACATGATAATTTTTATAAATCCTTTACCATCAGTGTTTGTAGCATAACATGAAATAAGCTAAATTTAACCATTTGAATACTCAATTCTTTATAACTGAAGCAATCCTAACATACAAGTTCAGTAAAAAGGAAAAACATGCCAACTTTAGGTGATTTCTACTTTTCTATTCTCTAGTTCACTAGAGGTTTCATACGTTTTAAGATTTCTGAGGACAAAGAAAATGATGAATGCTTCCGTGATTTCATGTTAGTATTGACTCATGAAATGTCACATTCTATTTCTTAGCTATAATGACACCATTGGCTAAAATACGGTGATTTAAAGGACTATATCCATATCATTTGTTTGAAGACAAAGTGTTTCCAAAATCATTTGCTTTGTTACTCACGGAGATAAAATCAAGCTAAGAGATGTGAAAATTCTCTATTCCAAGGGTGCTTTCACCCCTACACACTACTGGCCTCTCTGATTTTCAAGCTATGACCACATAATTTGGTATGGCCATTTTATAGCACTGTTCCATTAGCTTAAAAAAAAGATAATATTGGTTTACCCTGAAATATATTTGGAAACAAGCAACTGACTGCATTTCTTTAAAAATTGCTAAAACTGCTACTTTGATTTTTAATTCAATTTTTTTAGTAAATTAAATACTTGTTAAATATTTCCTTTTAGACTTTTTCAATGACCTTTTTTAAGTGAGGGATAAGTGATCATTTGAAAATTGATCATGGACACTGTAACTTTTACCAGGGACCCCCTGCAGTGAGCCTCCCATCTCTTCCCAGCTGTTATGGTGCATGATGAGAAAGAAAGAAACAAAAGACAGATCTGCAATTGTAAACACTGTATTGTCTCACTACTGTACAAACCTGAAAGAGTGAATAAAAATTGGAAGGTACGAGAGATAATGGGAAATGAAAGGCAACTGCTCAAAAGTAAAGAACTGGGATGATGGAAAAGAGAAAAGAAAGAAGGGAAAATTATGTATACATGTGTATATAGAATAGCTAACGTAGCTGTACTACTGACTTATATTACTTTATTGAAAGGAAGAGTTAATGTTTGTTTGACCAATCTTACATGTCTATGTTTACCTGAGTAACAAATTTGAAGATATCAATATGAAATACAACAACCATTGTTAATTTCCTATCACCTTGTCTGAAATTCTGTATTGATTGTATTGTTTTTGTGTTATTTTGTAAATGTACATGTGTTTGCTAATATGTTTTCATTCTTTTATCTTTAAAATATAAAAAGATGGAAGTACAGTAGGGATCTGGAATGACCAGTTGTTCACAAGGAACAAAAGGCCATGAGGCAGCCAGACCCTTGGCATTTATCAAGGAGGGAGTATACAATGCATAGTATATTAGCTATTTTTATTGTCTACTTTATTATGAAATTTTGTTTTATATTTTTCATAGAAGGGTATTTTTATTTTCTTTATTAATACATACTTGTATTACATTACAATAAAAAAATTTATTAAAAAAGGAATTACTCCTTTGATCAAGGAGGGAGTTTGAGGAGGGGATTATTGGATGACTCAAAAGGGCAGAGATGACTCTGTATTGTCTGTATTGTGCTTGTGATATGTTGTAAAATGTTGTATGTCTGTTAATGTTTCCCTCCTTTTATCTTTAAAATAAAAAAATTAAAAAAAAAAAAGGGCAGAGATGATCCTGTGCTCAGAAGGATCTTGCCCTGGACTGACTTTCAATCTTAGTGGTTTTAGTTTTAGTCTTAGTGGGTGGAAGAGGATGGCCTATCCTTAAAGAGATCATGGGAGATCTCAAAAGAGTGATATAATAATCCCAAACCTCTGTTCATCTCTTAGGGAAGTATGCAAAATTAGTCATTGTTATTTTGTGGTCCCCAACAACTTTTATGGTCATTTAGATGATATTTCCATAGTTCTAAAATACTTGTATCATTATTCAGAGTGTAAATATACAAACACTTGTTTCTTCACAATGGGAGGCCCACTCCTAGCATTTCTGACTTCTAATCAATAATCCTGAGTCAGGCTGGATGGGTAAAGAATTTAGTTAAACCTTGGCTAAATTGGGAGTAATTACTTTTTTAATAATTTTTTTAATTTTGATGTAATCCAAGTAGGTATTAATAAAGAAAATAAAAACACCCTTCTGTGAAAAAATTAAGACAAAATTTCATGATAAAGTAGAGAATAACAATGGTTAATATACTATGCATTGTGATCTTATAAAGAATGGCCTGAATGTCACTCAGAGTACGTCATAGATTTAAAAAAAATTGTTTCTTACAAAGAACACACAAACTAAAGGAACTTTCTTTCCAATGAGCAAAAGAAACTAGTAATTCTTGTCTTGGTGAAAAAGCAAAAGTCTCTACCAAACTCAAACTGATTATTCCTATAAAAAATAAAATAAGATTATTTACAATAGAAATCATACTTCTGCTTTTATGTAAAATTTCTCAATTTGAAGGGATAGAATCTTAGTTACTTTTTCATTGCTGATGCACATTACCCAACACCCACAACCCTAAGGAGGAAAGGTTTATTTTGGATCACAGTTTATAAAGGTTTCAGTCCATACCTGGCTGGCTCCAGGGCAGGGTGGCCTGGCTTAGGGGCATTACCAATGCAGCTTGCTCCTGGAATGGCAGCAGAAAGCAGAAAGAGATTAAGGAGTGGGAGGAACTTACACCCCTAGTGACTCACACTTCCCCCCAGCTTTTCCTCCCACACTTCCCGACATCACATTAGGCTGAAAGCTCATAGGTGAACTAATTCACTGATAAGTACTATGCTCCACAATCCAGTACCTATGAGGGCAGGAGGCTTTGAGGGACATCGAGATATAAACCATACTAGAATCTACTTCAAAAATGTTAAAACACAGTACAGACAACATTATGGGAAGTAAGCAGAACACTTCTGCCGCTGAAGGAAATGTACCTGTGATCTACTAGAACATGGCTTGCACCTTTGGTCTGGAGAACTCATAAACATACAGAAAGAACTGGAGATTTTAGTCTTAGATTCCCTCTTCACATTCTTCCCACAGTTCACTCCAAATTGTTCAATTACTACAGCTTTTCCTTCCTTCTCACTCTATTACATCAAGACCTTCTTCCTGGAAAAAAAGTAACTGTTTTAACAGTTAAGTAAACTTTAGGAATACAACAAGAAGTAGCACAGAAATACAACTTTGAGCTATTTAAGTAAGTGTTAGAATTCATTCTTGTTATTTCTCTACAGGTGTTCATAGCTCTTTCCTGCTACTCCTTCCTGGACTAGAATTAAACTTATTCGTGTTACATAATTATAGTTACATAAACACAATAGACTAGGAAGTGTTTAATATGAATAAAACCAGTTCATACAACTTGACCTCGATATTAAAATATGACTGTTCTATAGTCAGTAGTTGTTATTCAAAGTTATATTAGACAGATTTTACATGCTAGAAGTAAAAAGTGCAGCAAAACCCAAAGGATTAGTCCAGTCTAGTAAAATGTGTTCACACTGAGTTCTAATCAATTTGTAAGGACATCATAATATACATAGGAAAACAAGAAGTACCTCCCTGATACTTCCCTAATTACTTAGTTGTGAATGTATGCCTAAAGGTTCAGTGGTTAATGAAGCCCCCAGAACAAGAACAGATAAGAAAAGCCCAAAGCCTCAAACTTATTCTTTTGTCCCCATTACAAAGGCACTGATTATAATGCTTGCTAATGCACAATTACTTTCCTCCCTATTACAGGAATAACTAGTTCTAATTTTAACATGCCACCAATAGAGACAGAACTACTACATTAAAAAAGCTAACATTGTAAGAGTGTCAAAAATTATATTAATGAAATGCACAGCATGGGCTCAAGAAATTTAGAAAGAAAAAAATTTTTCATTAGCTAGACTTTTAAAAGGAAGTCTTATACCAGAGGCAACTCGCAGGGAATAAGAGAAAGTTCTTTGGGGCATCAGAAAGATAGCCGCAACTCAGAGTCAGATAGTAAATTTATAATTTGGAGGGGAGACCCATTTCATGGATGCGAAAGGATTTTTGAAGAGGTTCAATAAAACTTGAGGTCAAAATAACAGAACACGTTTGCTTGCCTCTGTCCTGTTATTTTGACCTCAAGTTTTATTGGGTCAATTTGAGATTCTTGAATGCCAAATTTCAAGCTGAGAATTTAAACTTTGCTTAGGCTTTAGTGTTAGCCACCAGGATTTCCTGCAAGGAATTGGAAACAAAGATGCAATTAATTTTGAATTTGCAGGAAATATGTGAGCCACTTATTAGCAAGACAGAATTCGAAATTTTTGCCCCAAACTCATTTGGCAAAAGCATAAATTAATTGACCTTTAATGCAGATTGAAGGTCCATCTGTTTAGGCTGGCCTACCCAAAGGACATATTGAATACCACTGCATCTGGGTGGATCTGCGCCTTTTGAATTCTACTTTGAAGACATTATGTATTTGTAACTGTAAATTTTTCTAAGGTACAATAAAGGAACACCTTTTATAAGAAAAATAATTACACATTATCACATGTGCAATCCATTTGATAGTTTTAATTACACTCCATTTAACACATCAATCACTTGCTTGTCTAGATACTTCTTAAACTCATAAAAGCAAAATAAAAGTATTATACTGACCTCATAACTTTTAGTCTTTTGCATCTGTAAGTCACACATGTGCACACACAGAAGTGTATGGATTGTATAAAAAGGTGATATTCAACATAACATATAGGGTTCTTTTTAAAAATATAACTGATCCATTTTTTGGTGTGATGGAGCAGTGAAGGTTAGAAAGCTTGATTCCAGACATCAGGAAAACGCCGAATCATGGCAGCTTCTCCCTGACCAGCATGCAAGGCAGGCAGAACTCCAGTACCCTTGGTGGCCTCCGTGGCTATTTGCCACACCTATAATGTGGCTGCTGGGGATAGGCTGAATGCCACACACCTTTAGGAACCCTGGTGAGCCACTCTTGTGCCTCCTCCATTAGTGTGTGAGGCACATGGAGCCCTGGACAACTTCTGGGACCTTGGTGGTCACTGCCAGAACAACTCGCACCCCCTCTGGGAGCTCAGCTGAAACCCGGGCAGAGTCAGTGGCCTCAGGGAGTCCACCCTCATGTCTCCCCTTCCAGTGAGGGAAACAAGCTCTGTTCTGGGCAATATCTGAAGCCGTGGTGAACACAACCTGCATCCCCACTACTCTTGTGGAAGCTGGGCCAAATCCTAGACAGTCTCAGGAACTGTGGTGAGTCTCCACCACCCTTCCCACACATGCCTGGGAGCCAACTGAAGGCAAGAAAGTTTGGAAGCATCTGGGACCCCACCTTGTCACTACTCACTAGCACAGATGCTGCACTGAGCACTGTGGATCTTCAGACTCTTGTCCTGCCACTCACACACAATCAAGAGAGTGATCCATCCTGCACTCCAGAAAGCCTCTGGATCCTCAAAAGTGATAAAACAAAGGAGCAAAATGCATTCCCAGACCTCCACCCCACTCAAAACAAGTACAGGACACATCAACACAGAACAACCTGGAAGTCATACACCTGCAATTTTTGAAATGAAAGCAACTGAAGTAGAGAAACAACTCCATCAGGTCATAGAAGACATCAGATCAGAAACAATGTCTCAGGTGAGAAAAGAAATGATAACAATAATGAAAGAAATATTCAGCATATCCAAAGATGACACTGACAAGAAAATAGAAGAGCACAGACAACTCATGGAAACCTTCAGTGAACAATATAGAAAAGAAGTAGACGCCTGCCTGGCAAGCGCAAGGTCATGAGTTCGGTTCCCGGTACCGGAAAAAAAAAAAAAAAAAAAAAGAACTAGAAGGTATGAAACAGATGCAAACAGATATCCAGGAAAGTAAATATTCAATTGATGGCTGGCAAAACTGCCTGAACAAAGCTAAAGACAGACTTTCAGTCCTTGAAGGCAGCATTGCCACTAATGAACGTGAAAGGAAGGATCTCTTAAAAGCAACAAGAAACCAGGAAATAATAATTCAACAATTGCAAGACAAAGCAAAGAAAAATAATGTCAGATTAATAGGTATTAATGAAACAGCAGGTGTCAACACAAATGACATAAGAGACTTTTTAGTCAATTTGTAATTTGGAGGGGAGACCCATTTCATGGATGTGAAAGGATTTTTGAAGAGGTTCAATAAAACTTGAGGTCAAAATAACAGCCCAAGTTTACTTGCCTCTGTTCTGTTATTTTGACCTCAAGTTTTATTGGGTCAATTTGAGATTCTTGAATGCCAAATTTCAAGCTGAGAATTTCAAGTTTGTTTAGGCTTTAGTGTTAGCCATCAGGGTTTCACAAGGATTATGTCAACACAAATGACATAAAAAGACTATTTGCAGAAATAATAGCAGAAAATTTCCCAGGCATGGAAAAAGAATAAGACATCCAGATAAGTGAAGCATATAGAACTACAGTTAATCATAACCAAAATTAATCTACTCCCAGGCATATAGTGATCAAGATCCTGGAAGTTCAACAAAAGCTCAAAATAATAAAAGCTGTTAGAGGCCAGGCATGATGCCACAGTCTTGTAATCCTAGCACATGGGAGGCTGAGGCAGAAGGATCATTGCAAGTTCAAGAC